TGAAATTCCAATCATGCACATGTTGGCTCTCTTTTGTCTTTTTTTCCTGTATCTATCATTTTCTCTGTAATTAAAAAAAAAAAAAAAAGAAACCCAACACTTTTTCCATTCTTATTTTGTTCACTTTTCTATTTCTAGCTTCCATTTCCATCAAGTTCTTCTCCCCACTTCATCCTAACTCCTGAGTTTGCTCTGTCTGTTCGTATCCTTCTTCCCGGGGGCGTCCTAACTCCTGAGCTTGCTCTGTCTGTTCGTATCCTTCTTCCCGGGCTCCTCCAGTCTCATCGCCGCTGCCTACCATCCATAGTTTGGACTTCGCCGTATTTTCACTGAGTTACATTTCTGCTTTGTGTTCTTTCCTCAGAGGGTAATTGTTTGACTGGGATTTCTTAATGCACATGAGCCCGCATGGTCCGTTTTCCTCTCTCTCACAGGAACAGTGTTTTCAGGCCTGTGTTCTCTGTCTGGTAGCCTTTCCTGACCTTCCCGGCCCTTTCCTTCTGGTGTCTTTGTACGATTCTGTGCTAACTCTGTTTGAAATTGACATGCCATGGAACGAGTTGGATTTTTATGCCCAGCTATTGGTAGAAGCTTCTTTCAGGGAGTGTAATTTTGCAGGCACCGTTCGAGACCTGCTGCCGCTGGACTTCTGCCGTTTTCTCTGCACATTCAAGCTGGTTGCTTCCCTCTCACCTCCCACCCCACGATGAGGCTGCTGCAATCTCCACTCTGTGCTCCTTGTCTGTGACTTGTGTTGTGCGCAGGGGACCTACGTTTACTATTTAAGAGCAGTGGTTCTCAGCGAGGGACAGTTTTGCCCCTCAGGGGATATTTAGCAATGTCTGGAGACTTTTGCTTTTGAGAATTACTTACTTAATGTTATTTATCATCATCATCATTATTATTTTGCTTTGCTACAGGGCACATGCGCTCAACAGAGAGGAGGGAAAGTGAGAAAGCAAGCTGCCAGGTCCAGGACTCAAACTGTGATGGTCCATGTGGGAGTCCAGCAGCTTAACCACGCCACTAACCACCCTGCCACTGCTGGGCCCTGGAGACATTGCTTTGGTTGCCGCAGTTGGACTGGGGCTTGATGCTGCTGGTATCTAGAGAGCAGAACCCAGAGATCTGCTGCATGTCCTCCGATGCGCAGTATGGCTCTCTTCACTCGCCACCAAGGCTTACCTAGTCCAAGACGCTAAGTGCCGAGGCGAGGACTGGTTTCCGAGGGAGCCCTCAGCTGTGGGTAAAACACTTTGGCGGGAGTGTCCTGAAATCGGCCACTCCTGGGCTGGCTTGCTATGCAGCCATAGACCCCCAACCCCAGACACACACACCAAGCCCTACCCTAGGCAATAGCTGTGCTCTTCACCTGGGTTTTGTGGCACGTTTTTTGCTTTTGTCAGTCTTTATGCGTTTTTGAGCCTGGGTTCTATAACGAAGTCTGCGTTATTTTTCTGCCTGCCTTTTGCTTTCTGAGCATCCAGGCAAAGGAGGAGCTAGTTGCCTTCTACATTCATACTAAAATCTCCGGAGGGACATTTCAGCCTTAAACTTCAGCTCAAGGGGCCAGCAGGTGGTACGGTGGTTGAAGCACTGGATTCCCACATGGCTGACTGTAGTTCAAGTCCTGGATCTGGTTGCTTGCTTTTTCACTTTCTCTCTCTCTCTCTCTGGTGAGCACACATGCCATATAGCAAATTAAAATGATAATAACAATTAATAAAATAAATAATTATCTAAAAAAATCCTTCAGCTTGAGATGTTTTAGTTGAACCAGAGAACATGAGCTCAAGTTTCAAAACCACTGACAAAAACAAAACCAAACACCAAAAAAATTCCTACAAAAACAACAACAAAAAACACTGAGTGCTCATTTGGGTTCCGGAATTCTCAGGGCAATGCTTTAATACCTTCAACTCGGTGCCAAGGTTTCTTTGTAGGTTTTAGCAGGGATGGCGAGTGGTAGGTTTGGCCCGTGTTTATAGCTAACCTGAAGGCGGAGACCACTGAGATCCAACTTTGTGGGGTGAGGCCTCCTATCAACCTCCCACCTTGGGCTCTGGGAGGTCACCCCATGTCCCCCACCTCTACCCATCCATGAGACTCAAAGCTCAGGTTCACAGGGCTTGGTGAAGGCCCTCGGTGTAGAAGCCCACTTCCGCCTGGGTTCCTGCTTTCACCGATGTTTGTCTTCTATACCTTTTTGTGTCTAGAACTCTGTATTCTATCCTTCCTTGGTTAGATCATTGATTTCTTTTAAAATTCTTATTTAAACCAGTCTCTTTGGTTGCTTTCGGTTTAAGGGTCAGTTAGCTTATCTATTCCGCTATGCTCCCCTCTAAGCCTGTTTTCTCATCCCTAAAATGGCAGTAATAACAAAGGTTATCTCAGAAATATTTTAGAGCGGGTGAGGCAATATACATCAGTCTCTCAGAACGGTGCTTGGCAGATAGGAGGTTAGTAAAAAGTAACTAAAATGCTCTCTCCTTCTCCCCTCCCTGTGGTGGGAGAGAGCCCTGGGACGGTCAGTCCTGCTGCTCAGAGCTGAGCCCAGAAAGCCCTGTGAGCACCATGCAGCCTGCCAGGCCCCGTCTCCTGCCCACGCCCGGGCGTCCCACTTGCCAGCTTTACAGAGCTTTCTCTGTTTCCCCTTGCTGTTTCCTCCCTCACTGGAGAAGGGCCAGAAATAATGTTTCTCCCCGTCAGCACCCGTTCCTGGCCAGCAGGAAGCCACCCTGGCTACAGTAGGCACAGCCCGGGCAAGTTCGCCAGTTCCCCGTGAGGTCGATCTCTCTCTCTTTCCCCACATATACCCTGTCCCCTACTCTCCCCAAACAGGTCTGGGGGCATGGCTGACACTTTTTTTAATTTGGTTTTTATTTTTGGGGGGAGTTATATACTTCGATTTTTAAATAATTTAAGATTTAGGGGGAAAATGTACAAAAATACTACAAAGAACTTTGTATATCCTTAATCCAGATTTCCCAGATGTTTACATTTTACTTTATTTGCTTTATCATTGTTTTAGTTTTATGTACACACACACACACACACACACACACACATATTAGTACCAGAGAGAGAATTGTTTTCTGGGCCATTTGAGAGAAAGTTGCAAATGTGAGGCTCATCTGCATACTCTTAGTACTCCTTCTCCTGTGTTCTTAAAAATAAGGACACGCTCTCATAGCCACCATACAAGAACATTAAAAAGCATTTTCTGGACCGGGACCCCATGTTGCAATTTGAGATCTTTTATGACGTCGGTGTCTTCGAAGAGCATGAAGCAGTTACTTCGTAGTATGTACATTTGTTTGTTCCTGTTTCCTCGTGGCTGGGCTCGGGTGAGGCGGCTTTGGCAGGAGGCCCCCAGAGGCGATGCTGCGTCCTTCTCATGGCGCTGTGTCAGGAGGCACGAGATGGCGGTTTGTCCCATCACAGGGGTGAACTTTAACCGCTTGGTTGAACTGATCAAAGTCATGACTTTCCCCACTGTAATTACTAAGTATTTTGAGAGTATGTAAATACCTCATCCCTCATGAAGCTTTCATGCTGTGGTTTTTGCATCCATTAATTTTAAAACTTTTTAAACATTATTTTTATTTTTATTTTACTGATTTACTATTATTTTTTAAATTTGCTATAGGGTGTGTACGCTTGCCAGAGAGAGAAAAAGAGAGAAAAATGAGAATCCCCCCGCTCCCAGAGGAAGGATTACCACATGGCTGTCTCTTTTCCTCCATTCTCCTCTCAGGATTTCAGACACACACACGCATACAAACACATACACACACACACACACACACACACACACACTTGCACATATACACGCTCAGCATGTTTTTCAAGCTGCCGGGTCTGGGACTTGAATCGTGCAGTTGGCTATGTGGGATCCCGCCGCCTTCACCACCACACCACTGGCTGGCCCCCATTGGTGATTCTGATGGAATTAGTTATTACTATATTTGCCAGTAGATTTCTTTAAAACTCCACATAACTTCCTTCTGTATTAAAAAAAAAAAAACTTTTAAAAACATTTACTTATTTCTTCTATTTGTGAGAGAGCAAGCAGGAGAAAAGTCAAAAGAGAGACGGCACCCCCGACGGCACCTTGCTGCCACGATGCACCCTGCCCAGCCAGCCCTGGATCACGGGCACGCGTTTGATGTTCACAGGGAGGGCTCCAGACATAGCCCCGGGACCCTCAGAGAGCGCTGTGTTTACTACTGCACGACAGTCCACCCCCACACTGCTCCCTTTGCATTGATGACTTGGCCCCAGCATGGCGCTCCCCACTCATCTGTTTGGGTACTCACTTATGTATATCGTGTGGGCTCGTGCATTTCTGCTCTAGTTAACATTCTATTGCTGGAGTCATTGCCGACGTCACAGTCTGAGCTGTCCTGGACTGGATCAGCCTGAGTCCAGGAGGGTTTTTGTTTTTTTGTGTGTTTTGTTTTTGTATTTCCTCTGAGAGAGATATGAATAAACCCTTATTTATAAAGTGCCAGTAATAATAGTAACTTTCATTGGGTTTTGCAAGAAATACATGAGCAATTACATATAAAATGCTTAGGCTACCAGTAGTAGTATCAGTTAGCATTTATTCCTTACTCGCTGTGCCAGGTACTGTTCTCTTTTGCTTTCTTTCTTTTTCTTTTTGGAGAGGTTTTTGCTATAGGTGTGTGCGCTTGCCAGAAAGAGAGAGAGACAGAAAGCGAGAAATCCCCCTCCTGAGGGTGGGATGGCCACGTCGCAGTCCCTTCTCCTCCTTTCTCCTCTTGGGATCTTGGGCACGCACGCACATGTGCCTGGCTTGAGTTTAAGCCCCCGGGTCCAGGACTCGAACCATGGTTGACTACAGGGGAGTCCAGCGACATAGCCATTACACTAACTGCTGGTCCCTTTTTTTTTCTTTTTTTTGGGGGCGGGGAGGGAGACGTTTTTCAAGGTACTGTTCTAAAACTTACACATACTAGTTCATCACGCTGATTATATTATTTCTTTATTTCACCAAAAGGAAACAGACTGAGAGTGAGAAGTGTCTTGTCCAGGGTCACACAGGCAGAGAGCAGAGGTCTGTTTGCTGGAGAGCCTGTATTCTGCCCTCTGGCCCGTATTACGCCATGCACGCTGTAAGACAGAGGCAGATACATTCATGGGCGTAAGATAGAAAGGGTTTTGATAGATAGAAGATGGAAAGATGACCAGAGGGACCAGCATGAGGGTCATCACAGATGGGCAACTACGAGGTGTGAGTGTCCAGACCTCTGAACAGTCCTTTCTCCCCAGCCTCTTGTGTCTTCTCATTAGCCCAAGCTGCTTCTCCTTCTTCTCCTTCTTCTTCTTCCTTCTGCCTTCATCTTCCTTCTTCTTCTGGCAAAGGGAGCACGTGCTTACCGGAGAAAGACAGAGAGAGACAAAGAGAAGGTGAGAAATCCCCCCTCCACAACAGGGTGGATGGCCACTCTGCAAACCCTCCTCTATTTTCCTCTCTGGGTTTTGAGCATGCATGCATACATGCCCAGCATGCTTTTCAAGCCACCAAGTCCAGGACTCAAGCCACAGAGTCGGCCCTGTGGGATCCTGCACCTTACCCCCATGCCACTTGCTAGCCTGAGCTGTCCGCACCCAGCTGGACCTTTCTAATTCCCGTGTTGCCTTCTACAGCCTGTGAGCACGAGCCTCCCCTGGCCCGGCAGAGCTTCACTCTGCTGCTAAGTCAGGGCTGCAGACCTCCCAGTGTTCCCTGGCAGACAAGAGGCTACTGTCCTTGACTGCCACCACTGCCCTCTTAGCACTTGGCGCCATTGTAAGTTCATGTTCATTGATCGTGGTCGTTAGTTCAGGTCTGTCTGTGCTAATACTCTGAGCTCTGTGAACACAGCATGTCGACGTTGGTCACCATGGTAGCCCCTGGGTCTACCTGACAACAGGAGGCGGCCAGCGGATACTCACTGAGTGTATGTTGAGAGTCTGAGTGACCGCGGCCTTTTCACTGCATCATCCATTTCTCCATTGACCCTTCCCAAGAGTCCTGGTCAAGGGTGTCCTCTGCTATACAGATGGCGTAGAGAAGGAAGGGCCTGTTTCCAAATCCCACCACAGGCGAGAGGCCAGCCAGACCTGTGCTACACTTGTCCCCACTGCCCTTCATTCAGTGTTCAGATTCTCAGCCCCATGGGAAAGGTGCTGAACTTCTGGAAACCCACTTAGAGGAACTTAGGGTAGTTCTCAGGAACAGGGAGTTATTTATGTTCCTTTTTAAAGAATTATTTATTTAATTTTATTTATTATTATTATTATTTAATTTGCTACAAGGCATGTGTGCTCATCAGAGAGAAACAGAGAAAGAGGGAAAGGGAGAAAGCAAGCTACCAGGTTCAAGTCCTGAACCCTGGTCTGTCATGTGGGAGTCCAGTCCCATAATCGCCATGCCACCTGCTGGCCCCATATGTTCTTAATATTTGGCCTGAAATCTTTGTGACTGAGGTGTTACTGGTGGTTCATGTTGGTTCTGGGACTGGTCTTAGAGCTGCTCCGAAACCAGCGCTGTGCCAAGTTGCCTAGTCGTTTTGGTGACCAGAAGAGACCTTCCTGGGGAAACGTTCCCACACCTCCCTGGAAAGGCTGGACCCACCTGCAGTAGAAGATGCCAGAGCGAAACCCAGCAGAGTAGGGAACACCCTGGGGCCCCAGTGGCTCGTCGGCACAGGCTAGCACAGCCAGGAGTTTCTGTATCGGGTTTACCAGGAGGGCCAAGATCAGTCGGTAACACAAGGCCATTTATAATCCAAGCAGTGAGCCAGGTCAGGTGGGGAAAGCCCAGGGGGCCACCTCCGTGGTGCAGGGGTAATGCTGGGCTCAAAAGAAGCCAGACGCCACATGGTGACTGTGGTTCGAGTCCTCCGTCCAGTCAGCCTGGGACATGCTGGGCATGCACACAAGGGCCCAGGATCTGCCAGACTGGAAGAAGAGTTTATGGGTGACTGGGTGCTCATCTCTCTCCCTCTCTCCCTCTCATGTGTGCACGTGCTCTCTGTTAGGAATAGAAAGAAGAGTCACTGGGGGAGCTGATTACATGCAGGCTCTTGGACCCTGCCTCTGTAACACTGAGTCACAGCTTCTATGAGAGTGTGAATCTTGTGAAAGCACTTCCCTGGCCAAAGTGCGGCACAGCGCACTTAGAGACGCGGCATCTCAAAGACTGCATAACACATCCTGGAATGAGACGTGTGCAGTGCCAGGTAAATAGGTGGGACACAGATTTTGTGAGATAATCCAATGTATTTATCCCAGGGAGCTAAGAAAGTATGAAATACGATCTGTGCACAAAATAATTGACCATAGTTTTAATGTGTGTGTTCCATTTAAGGATTCTGTATGCATAAACACACACACACACACACATATATATATATATATATACACACACACACATACATACACAGACACACACACATATATACATATATATGTATATATATATATAGGATGGCCACACTGCAATCCCTTCTCCATTCACCTCTCGGATTTTAGGCATGCACACACATGCAACCAGCATGAGGTTTAAGCCACTGGGTCCGGGACTAGAACTGTGGTCAGCTACAATATAACCATTATGCCATGTGCTAGTCTCTATTATATTTTTAAAAATGTAGAACCCTGTTCTTTCCAAGGTCATATGGTTTAATTAAATACCAGCCCTGTGTTCTTAATAATCTAAAAAATTGCCTGGGTCTTCCCTCAACCCCCGTAGTAGGCTAAAGTAGGGCAATTTATTGCATTGGACATAAAAGGGAACTCCTACGTTAGGGAAGATAAGAGAAACATCTCTTTTCAATTCACCTCTTGAATTCATCCATTCATCTCTTTCCATGAAGTGGAAAAGGAGGAGGAGAGTGAGGTGATTCCGTGGCTGTTGGGAGAGCTTTTTCTTGAAACCCCACTTAAAGGCTGAGAGTCTATGGGCCAGGAGGTGGGGAGGAGGTTAAGGCAGCTGGATCCCTCATGGCCAACTTCACAATTCGAGTGCAGGACTCGGCAGCTTAAAGATCATGCTGTGTGTGTGTGTGTGTGCATGCCCAAAATCCCAAGAGGAGAACAGAGGCCAAGGGATTGCTGTGTGGTCATCTCTTCAAGGGGTAATTTCTCTCTCTTTCTCTCCAGTGAGTGTACACACCCTATAGCAAACTTGTTAGGCAGAGCTACTTAAGAATAATTCACTGCAGGGGCCAGCAGGTGACATAGTGGTTAAGGTGCTGGACTTCCACATGGCTGACTACAGTTCAAGTCCTGATCCTGGCTGCTTGAAATTCATGCTGGGCATGTATGCATGTGTGCCCAAAATCCCAGGAGAAGAATGGAGGAGAAGGATTGCAGTGTGGCCGTCCCCTTTGAGAGGGAGGTGATTTCTCACTTTCTCTGTCTCTGGTGAATGCATGTGCTCCATAGCAAAAATCTCTCTCTCTCAAAAAAAAAAAAAAAAGAAAAGAAAAAGAATTCACTCTCCATGTTTCCGTTGAATTAAACAATATTACAGAATTCTGTATATCTTCATTCATTAAGTGCAGGCCTCCACTGTGGAGATTTAAACCTTAGCTTCCCTCCATTGGATATATAGGATTATTCATTTGAAGGAGCCGAAGAACCAAGACAGTGAACTGAAATTCACTACAGCGAAAGCTCCACGAAGCAGACAGTTTTGAACCTTTGTTCGTTCTGTGGTCCTGGGTACTAGAACAGTGCCTGGCAGGTTGAGGCGTTCAGTCAATGTTTGTGGGATGGCTGTCATGAGAGTCCTAGAGCCAGACGGGTGGAGATCAGCATCTCAAGACATGGCCTTTGAATCTGGAGTGAGTCCCACAGAGGGGCTGGCTTCTCGAGGCGGCCAGCAGTACTGGGCACCACGCCTGCGATGACTTGGAGTGTGAGCAGGGGTGGTTCCTTCTGGGGTTAAGCCATTGCATGCCTCTCTCTGAGATTCTGGTCGCCATCAGTAATCCTTGGCATTCCTTAGCCTGTAGACACATCATTCCTCTCTACCTCTGTCTCCACACGATCATCTTCTGTCTGTGTCTTTTCCTCTTGTAAGACCTTGGTCATTAGACTCAGGGCCCATCTGGATCACCTAGATAATTCTAATGTTGACGTCTTTAACTTAATTATTATCTGCAAAGACCCCTTTTCCAAACAAGTTCACATTCATAGGTTGTAGGTGGACATACCTTTTTGAAGAGTCATACTTTTTTTTTTTTTAAGAGGTTTTTACCTTGGTGTGTGTGCTCTTGCCAGAGAGAGACAGAGACAGTGAGAGGGAAAGTGGGAAATCCCCCCCCCAGGAGGAGTGGCCACACCACAATCCCTTCTCCTCTATTCTCCTCCCAGGATCTTGGGCACGCATGTTCATGCACCCGGTGTGACTTTCAAGCCACCAGCTCCAGGATTCCAACCATGGTCGGCCGTGTGAGATCCAGTGATGTAACTGCTATACCATCTGCTGGTCCCAAGGGATCATACCATTTGATTTCTGACCCCAACCTCCAAGATAGCACCCAGGGTCTCTGCCTCCAGTGTTCAGACCCTTGTGTAGTCTGCTCTCACGGTGTGCAGAGGTTGATCTCTGTGATGGGGTATGGCCAGCCGGCACGCTGTGGACGCCCTGTGGAGCAGCTCATGTGACTGAGCTCCAGCCCGTGTCCAGCAGCCGCCTGAGTAAGCTTGGAAGCAGATCCTCCAGCTCCGCTCACCCTTTGCTGATCACGGCCCCAGCCAATATCCTGGGCGTGAACTCGTGGGATACTTACAGGGCTGGCCCAATATCTCCTTTTTATAGGCAGAGAAATAGAAACACAAAGAGACTTAAGTTTTTTCAAGGTCACTCAGTTATGAAGGAGGACAGGCAAAATTCACACCCAGACGATCTGTCCTCAAGATGACATAATTACTAATTTTCTTCTTAAAGGAAGCTATTTAATATTACAGTTGAGATATTGCATAGATTATTTTTAAAAGAGGGATTTTTTCTGTAAACTTTTCCACTCTGAAAAAGCTAACTATGTGGAAAATACATCTATGTGGTGCTTTGCCAAATTCCCTGGTGATCTCTCAAAGTCCTTGAGGACTTCTTAGTTTAAAAAGCACCTAGGAAACAAAGAATTAGCACTCCACTCCTAGTATCATTCCTAATAAACTAGTTTTAGCTATCCCTTGATTTTTTTTTTAGAGGTTTTTGCTATAGAGCATGTGTGATCGCCAGAAAAACAGAAAGACAAGAGAGATAGAAAGTGAGAAATCACCCCCCCACTGGGGATGGCCATGCCACAGTCCCTTCTCCATTCACCTCTCGGATTTTAGGCATGCACACACATGCAACCAGCATGAGGTTTAAGCCACTGGGTCCGGGACTAGAACTGTGGTCAGCTACAATATAACCATTATGCCATGTGCTAGTCTCTATTATATTTTTAAAAATGTAGAACCCTGTTCTTTCCAAGGTCATAAGGTTTAATTAAATACCAGCCCTGTGTTCTTAATAATCTAAAAAATTGCCTGGGTCTTCCCTCAACCCCCGTAGTAGGCTAAAGTAGGGCAATTTATTGCATTGGACATAAAAGGGAACTCCTACGTTAGGGAAGATAAGAGAAACATCTCTTTTCAATTCACCTCTTGAATTCATCCATTCATCTCTTTCCATGAAGTGGAAAAGGAGGA